TGTGTGTGTGTGTGTGTGTGTGTGTGTGTGTGCGTGCGCGCGCGCGTGTGTAAAAATAGTACTTGTCATAATACATATATGGCAGAAATGATACGTTAATACGTATAATTTTCCAGAAATGATACGTTAATTTTGAAACTTTTTTTATTAATAACTTTTTAACGAGTTAGGTCCGACGGTTAAAACTTCCTCAAGGTCACTCAGGGTCATGACCTTGACAACATATGTCAAGGTCAAGGTCATTGGGGGAGGCTCCCCTAATCTACATTTTTACCATTTTTAGTATTGTTATATGCTAATTCATCATGAAAATTCCACACAGATAAAACATTACTTTTGGGCGGGGTTTTTAAACAATTTACGTTATTTGCCTGATTTTCAATATTATTTCGTTGTTTTAATAAGTTTGACACTCTTGTGATCGCCTTCGAACAATCCATGATACTTGTGAAATGTAATTTTTTAAAACGCGGATCTAATAAAGTTGCGACACTGAGAAAATAATTTTTTTCTATGGATGATTGATTGGAATATTCTCTTCCATAGAATCGCGTATCTATCTGATCTAGAATGTTATTTTTCAATTTTTCAGCAATTTCATTACATGGATTTAAACGACTTATTACACTATTTAAACAATGAACAATTGGAATAATTTTACTTCCAGTTACATACTTTTTACCTGACATTTCTACAGTTACGGATTCTATAGGAAAAAGAATTTTAAGCGATTCTTCAATGCATGTTATATCGGAATAAGATAGCATTTGCAAGTCTGAATATTTGAACAGGACAGTACTAATAAATTCGGATAGTTTGCAAAACCTTTTCAACATATAGAATGTTGAGTTCCACCGAGTTTCTGACTCTTGAATTACTTTCAAATGTTTACCGTTGGGATTTGTTTTCATCTGAAGCGCTCTTAACTCATCTGCTGCTTCTACCGATCGTTTAAGGAAAGTTACAATCTCTTTTACTTTTGTTACAATATTTTTAAATTCAGGTGTTAATTTAATTGCATCCCTGACTACTAGATTGAGCTGGTGTGCAAAGCATGGCAAATGTCCAAATGTATCGCGTGCAGCTTTCGATATATTAGCAGCATTATCTGTAATCATTATTATCACTTTATTCAGATCAATGTTCCATTCGTGACAAAATGATTTTAAAATTTGCGACAAATAGATAGCATTGTGAGCTTCTTCTAGAAGACGAACCCCAAGATTAATGGATTCAATTTTTGTACCTTCAATAAAATGTGCAGTAAGGCATAAGTAGCTTTTGCTATTATACTTGTCCGTCCAAATATCCGATGTCAACACAATGTTATCAATCCCTGTCAATTTTTCTTTTACAATCGAACTTAGCGCGACAAATTTTTCGTCGATGCGACTTGTAATAGTCATCCTACTTGGAACTGTATATAACGGCGCAAGAATTTTAAGTAATCGTCGAAAACCTTCATCTTCTACTATGGATAATGGCTGTAAGTCCTTCAAAATCATAAACGTGATGGCGTTTGTTATTTCTCCCGATTTATTACCACCATCTGTAACACGGATTTGATTTTCGGTTTACTATATTAAACTGAGAATTAAAATGTATTAATTTGGTTTAAATTTATTAGATCAAATTAAAATGTATTAAAAATTAAAGTACAGTATCGAATTTAGTTGTATACTAATATAGTAAGTGTTAATTATTTTTTAATTCATCAAAAATGGTATGAAAAGAAAGAAATTTAAAAAATAATGCGTTTAAGTCTTTTTAAGAAAAAATAATAGTAAGAGAGAAAAATTAATCACTGTAAAGCTTGTTGTTTTTTTAAAAAATAGATTAGTATTAATTTTAGCATATTTTAATTTTATATATTCATCTTTAATATAATATAGTATATAATTACTCTCACAATGTTGACCATTCAAGTTGTTTTTCTTTCTTAATTAACATTATTAATAAACAAGAATAGTAAAATTAACTATAAATGTTAAATATATGTTATAGTAATTATTATTTTAATTTTAATATAAAGAAAAAGATTTGTTTTTTAATTAGAAATTATGTTCAACATAAGTATTATAAAAATACAATATTAAACAAGTTACCATTATATTCATTTATCCTCGAAAAAGCCTTTTTAATCGAAACTTGCTTTTGTGTTGAAGTCTGATCTTTTGCATTAGTTGAGTCACTTTGAACAGATTGTAGACTGCAGTGGGATTCAGAATCAGACACATCGATAGCACAATTATTTTCATTTTCAGATGTAATTTTTTTTGAAGTGTTTTGTTGAATCATTATAGCTTTATGCTTTCGCTTCAGATGGTTTTTTAGGTTCGTCGTATTGTTGTGATGCTTATAAATATTGTTACACAACGTACAACGCTTTGATACTGAATCAAAGACAACATAATACTGTTTAATCAAGTCCTTACTGGGAATGAGTGTCACTTTATTGGCAATGTTTTCTGAAGCAGTGCTAGTTGACATTGTCAATTGACAGTGTATTTATCAACTATATTTGTAATCAGTGATATAAGAAATCTTTTGAGATGGTTTGATGTAGTGACTATATGAAAAAACAAAAATTGCTTTTTACTTCCTCTGGTTGGACCTACAGTTCAAAAAATAAGGATTATATTAAGAGAGAGAGAGAAAGAGAGAGAGAGGGGAGGGAGAGGGAGGGAGGGAGAGGGAGGTAGGGAGAGAGGGGGAGGGGGGGGGGGGGGAGGTAGGGAGAGAGAGGGGGAGAGGGAGGTAGGGAGAGAGGGGGAGAGGGAGGGAGAGGGAGATTGATTGATTGATTGAATGTTTTATTTATGTTTTGGCTGAACAGCCGTAAACAATTTACAGAATTATACAAAACGTATACTATTTCGCTGTATTACTTATTATCACAGAATTCGAAATTAATTAATTAATATACGCCTCAGTACATGAGACTCTGCAAGTCTCTCTGGAAAAGAACGCACGTAATAAAAATAAAAAAGAAAGAAAATTGTATACATGTCAAATATTTGGTGGAGTGCGATGAAAGAACAGTTAAGGTAGTTATAATTCTAGAATTTGTGCAAATACAAAATTTAATCGAAAGATGTGACTATGAAAATATAAAGTCGAACAATCACGGGATTTTTAAGTAGAACGTTCGGCAGCAATTAGGTACTTATAATATGCATTTTTGAAAGATTGTAGTGTTGCGGTATTTGTAATGTTTTGAGGAATAGAATTCCAATTTTTCATACCGGTGATCCAAAAAGAGTTTTTGTAATAGTTAGTGCGGCAAAACGGGAAGTCGAAGGTTTCGTGATGGCGAACTGATCTTCTAATATCAGGATTACAGGTGGTAAATCGACGATAAAGGTATTGAGGACGATAAGTACTCAGTATAGAGTAGACTGTGCATCCTAGAAAATACTGTCGCCGGGCTCGGATTGTCAACCAATTAGCTTGTTGTCTAAAATATGCCAATTGTGAATCGCGACGCAGGTTATAGACATATCTGAGAGCCACATTTTGTAATCTTTGCAGTTTAGTATTGAGATGGTCAGTAACGTCATTGAAGGTTAAACAGGCATAATCAAAATGTGGTGTGACGAGAGCATTGACTAGATGTAGTTTAACTGTTGTTGGCAGGGTGGATCCGCGAAATTTCAGACGATAGAGAGCATGATATACATTGGACGATATTTGTGATATATGGCGATTCCTTGTCAGATCGGCTGTTATGTGAACTCCAAGATTCTTAACCGTATCGGAGTACGGTATCGTAACTCCATCAACTGTTATTAATGGTATGTTAATTTTGGATAGGTTAAGTAGCTGTTGCGTAGATCCTATAATGATGGCTTTGGTCTTATTAGCATTCAGTGTAAGTTTGAACTCACTGGCCCATTCGACTAACGTTTGGATCTCGCAATTTAGTTCCGCCACAGTTTGTTCGATGCGATATAAGGGCGTAGACAGGTAAAACTGCGTGTCATCGGCAAAGATGGCACATGTATTTCGGCAGTAGGTCAGTCGGTTAAACAATGAGTTAATGAACATGGAGAAAAGTACTGGTCCCAAACTCGACCCCTGAGGTACTCCTGGGGTAGATGGTAGTGTTGGTGATGGTTTTCCTTCGTTATCTACAATTGTTTGTGATCGTCCGGTCAGGTAGGAGTGGAACCATAGCATAGTCTCGTCGTTAAAACCATACTCCCTGAGTGCAAGTAAAAGCAGCGAATGATCTAGCGTGTCGAATGCCTTACTAAAATCGAATAATACCAAAATGGTCACACATTGGCGTTCGATCGCTTCGCGTGCATCGTCGAGGACATTTAAAAGCGCAGTTTGCGTACTGAAATGCCGTCGAAACCCAGATTGGAATTTGTTTATGAGGTTATTGTTCTCCAAGTACGTCGAAATTTGTTGTGCGATTATGGAATCTAATGATTTCGCGAGATGTGGTAGGTTAGCTACTGGACGCGTTTCTGCAGGTGTTGCAGGGATGGATGATTTATTAAGTGGAATGATCGAGCAGCATTTCCATTCCGCCGGGTATTCTCCCGTAGAAAGGGAAAGGTTGTATATATATGTTAGGTACGGTGCTATTGACGTAACAGTATCCTTTATGTGAGCAAGTTGAAGGCCATCAGGGCTACGGCCCTTAGATTTAGGTATTACTGTTAGTAGAGCATTGGTAACCTGTGTGATCGAAAGAGTTGAGAAGCTAAAAGTCGAAGTGTGAGTTGGTGAATGGTATGACAGGATGCTATTGAAGGTCTGTATCGAGCAGGGCGGATGGACTGTTGTGATCGTGGTGTAATGAGCATTGAGTTCTGAGGCGGAAAAATGTTGTAAAGAAGATGTCGATCTTGATTCTAGGAGTCTCATTCTCCGCAGAAAAGACCAAATTGCTGCCGGGTCACGCAGTTTTGAAATGGAACTCGACAGGAATTGTTCCTTGGTATGTCGCATCAAATTCTTAATGGTCGCTCTTTGCATCTTATATTCGGCCATGATTCTGTCACTGCCGGTACGTCTGGCCTGACGATAGAGTTTATCCCGTTCTTTGATTTCGGACTTTATATTTTCATTTAGCCATGGGACATGCTGATGTATAACTTTCACAGTTCGCATCGGCGCATGAAAATCGAACGCGGTTATTACAGCATTACAAAAAATCGAAAGAACCTCGTTAACATGTGGATTTGACAGCGATAGCTCTTGCGGGAATTCCAACATGGTATTTGTGAGCGCTAGTACAATATCCGAATTTAACCTTACCATATTACAATTTTTGAAATCCCTAAACGTGAAGGTTATACGTAAATCAAATTAAGTCATGGCCAGCTGCGAATGGCACCTCCGATTGTGAATAATTACGTACTTTTAGCTCAGAATCAGTAATGCAAACATCAATTTGAGTATCCGCCTCTGACGTATGATGTGTTGCAGTATGGGGAACTAGATAAAGCGAATAATCTCTAATAACAGTACGTAAAAAATTTGATTCAAAACTATCACGAAGAAGGTTGCAATTCAAGTCACCCATAATTACTAGATTTTTATAATCTGCAAGAAACAGTTCTAGACTAAGTATAAAATCATTAAATAACTAACCACTGGGCCGGCGATAAATAACAGCCAAAAGTAGCGTACTGGATTTTGATCTGACATCCGCAATTAAGAATTCGGGACTATTAATACTGTTCCCTTTAGACCGCTCGAGAACTTTAATATTAAGCGAATTATGGATATAACACGCTACACCGCCACCTTGTACGTATCGAGAGCTATTTGGCGAGATTATATTTCGATCGTTCCTAAATAACTGGTAGTTAGCAACATTAATGCATTCGCTAGGCACTGCGGGTGTGAGCCACGTTTCTGTTAGCGCGAAGATGTGCGGTGAACGATCGTTTAAGAAGCATTCGACCGCTTCAAAATGAGCACGTAGAGAGTTAATGTTACTATGCGCAATAAGAATATTTGTGGGCGATGAATTATGCGGCAAAGGTGTATCTAGTCAAGACTAGCTTATCTAGATCTGATTCTGTATTGATCGGGATTGGGTTAGATCGTTCATCCCTGCGGACGAAAATTTGGTTATTGCGATGCCATACGCGGGCATAATTCATTTCCCGAGCTTTGGCTTTCGTAGCTTTTAATAGCCGAAATGTTCGCGTCGGGAGCTGTTCGTCGACATATATTGTGTTCAGGTTGGCGGTATTTAATTCCGGAAAGATATCCGCCGTAGTTAATTTCCCGGTTTTTCTTTTACAATCTATTATAAAATTCCGAACAGCTACGGACTTGAAGGAAATTACAATTGAAAATTGACTTCGTATAGGTTCAGTATCGATGGTCCCTAGGTTACCGGCAGCTACGTCACGGCGCGTGGCGTTAATTCGTCGTATTTGCAGTATGTCTTGTAGTAAATGTGGGACATTTAATTTAATTAGCACACGTTTAGTTATTTCCTGGTCAGAAATTATTGTACTGCTCGGTATTCCGGTAATTATAATGTCCGGAGTCGGCTGAGAATAAGAGTGCAGATCTTTAATTTCCTGAATATGCGTAGCGTTTGCACGACATGCTGCCGTATTTTGCCCAACCGTGGCGCTCAACGAGTCTAATCGTGAATTCATATGTTGAAAACCTTCCATACACGTTTGCATGATCCGCGTTAATTGTTGCGCCGTATCAAGTGTGTGCCAGTCCAGAGGTAACTGAGGGAAAATCGCGGGTGCTGCCGCTCCTGCCGGCGCCGATGCATTGCCTTCACCGTTGTCCATAGTAGGAGAGGTACTAGAGGTAGCGGACGAGAGTGGGGTAGACGAACGAGGACAAGATACGACGGACGGAATAGGAGCGATGAGAAAGACGGCTGAATCGAACAAAGACGGCGCGACTTCGGGAACAGAGAGAGGCGAAGTAGATGGAAGATCGTCGACGGGGGGAAACGAATTTGACTTGTCGTCCGAATCTAGCAAGTGCCGGAACGATTGAAAACAACAGTTGCTTTCAGGCTTATTACGAATATAAATCTGAGCGCAGCTTAAATGATAATCGCATGAACACGTTTCGCACGTGTATTTATCAACGACGGGTTTGTGACACTTACTGCACGTCGTTCGCGAACTGCCTACTTTAGGTCTTTTGCTGGGCCTTATGTATGACATGAATTATGCCGACACTTAGAGAATTTCAGCCAAACCCTGTGCGATGCGACGGTTGATTGCTCAGCTGTCAAGTTCTATGGTCGCGGACAGGTGGCAGATGTTTGGGCTGACGTAAGAGTGACGCGTAGCAGACGTCAGAGGTCACGTGGTGCCTCGAAGACACTTCAGACTTCGTCAGCAGTTGACTCTCAATACATAGGAGCAGTGTAGTATAGGTGCCCAAGTAATATTTAAGTAATTTGGCTAGAGGTGTCACGTGACACTGATGACCTGCGCAATGATTGTCCTGGCCGAAAAATGTCGTTCGCCCGTCAACGTGGCAATTAGCGAATATTAGAAATAGGTGCACTGTAGACGCAAACTTAGGTCGATAACTCACTTTGCACCATGTGTGCAGGTCCACAGATTATGCACCCACTGCCGATGATTTCCCTCGGAAAAAGTTAAAGGAGCGTGAGAATTCGAATATATAATCAGAGCAAAAATAATTGCGGCTTGACACTCACCAGTATCGAGAGGGAGGGGGGGGAGAGAGAGAGAGAGAGAGACCTTCTAAAATTTAGTATTTAAAATAACTCAAACAGTAAATTATTACATCCTTGTTGTTTATCTACGTTAAACAAGAATGAAATGATTGCCTGTGTTACGCAATGTCTGACTGTGTCCTTGCTGGAAAGCACCCATAGAGTGCTTTCCAACGAGCGACACAGACACGGTTTGTCGGTATGACACAGTACTGGTAATGAATAACAGAATGCAGCTAATAACTTTTCAAGACTTACGCAATATATAGTAGGGCAGTGCAAAGTGCATATAAGCGTTACGGCGTTATGTTCTCTGTAATTACTTAATTGCCTAACGGTCTATTGTCTAACCTAACTAAATCAGTATTACTTCCACCATTGACTATGACCAAAGAGACATGCGCATCAATAATTAGACGGACATAAACCACATAGTATTAAGATGCATTCAGCAACCAGTGTGACAATGGCCTGGTTTACATCGTGAAAGAATTGGTACGCGTATTAAATGTGTTTCATGCGTTTACATCGCCATTTGTATCATTTGATACGCGTATCAGTTTAGTACGATACTCCTGTTTGATACGCTCGTACCAAAATAATCCGACAGCGTTTACATCGTGCGTACTAAATGTTTATAGTACGAATTTGATACGAATATAGTACTTGATACGCGTATCAAGTGCACGATGTAAACCAGGCCAATATGGCTAATGGCAAAGAAAATATTTTTTACACCACTGCTCGTATCGCCTTGTTGATTAGTTGTTGTTTCTGTTGCTTGACTCTTGTATGTAACTGCACCTTTAGGATACGTTTCCATTGAGCGCGTTACGCGTCGCGTCATGAAAGACGCTACGACGATGCGACGCGTGACGCGCTGAGTAGAAACATACCATTGTTCTACAATGACAAAAGTTATAGGCGCAGTGATTGGCAGCATCCAAAAAATGCTTCGTGTCGAATCATTCGCCAGTCGCCTCTCTTTCAAAATAATGATTTCGAAAAATTGAATTGGTACGTACGATTCTGTGAAAAATTAGATCGATTCCGAAAGAATCGAGAAATTAAAGAATCGATTGAAAATGGATTCTTTAAGAGCAAAAAGAATCGATTCTCGATGCATCGATCCAAGTATCGGCATCACTAATCCACGCAGGCCGCTAGGCCCCTCTCCTATCAGGCCGCTCTTTATTCTAATTGGCTTGTTGCTGTCGCGCAACCCCGCGACTAATCACAGCGAGTCCTGCGGGTCGCGTATCCTTTGAGTCTTTGGCGCGCTTTTCCAAATTAGCTGGCCGAGGCTTTCCGTCTTGATCAGTGGTCTTCTATCGCTCTCCTCAGAAGTGGAGGCGGCTGCCGATGTTTGGGCCGTGCTGAGACGGTCCCTTATCACGTCTCTCTCCGAGTCGTTTGCAATAAAGGTGCGACAATCGCCAAATAATATCCAAATTATCAGAGGTTACAAAACAATACGACCTGCGTGTACCGCGCTCCTTAAGGACACAATCGGGATCTTCTTTGGTGGTTTCTTGCTTCCTCCACGACGTCTTCTTTCTTCCTTCCGTGAGTGAGGCGGCAAAATTACACGAATCTAAGATAACCACCGCTCACACTCTAATGTGACTAATAATCGTTCTTTAAAAATCTGAAATTACTAAATATTTTATATAAAAGAATATACAAAACGAAACAAAAAAAAGATATAAATTTGGCACGCTCGCTTGTGCCCTCGCCCTTCGAGTTTAGAGGACACAGGATCTCCGTGCCAATGCACTCGCGAGTGACGGACACAAAGTGTCACGTCACAAGGTTTACAAATTATTATTATAATTAATAATTAATATTGTGAGGAACGATTGTTCTATTAATCAATTTTGTAATGACATTATACTAAAACACTTATTACGTTATACTAGAATCTTTTTAAGACCGTACAATTGATAAACAATAATAAACAAGAGGAAGAAGTCAATTACGGTCGAAGCTGGATCACAGTGCTTATTATAATTGTGTGAATTTTACATACTGCGCATGTAATCCCCCCAAAATTCGCGACGCTGATAGTTTTTCAGCATTGACGCATACATACTTACTACCGAAGTAATATCACTTAGTTAAATTGACAAGCAATCTAACAATTTTGATACTTATAGCATCTTATGGATCTTAATAATATGTTGAAAGACATATATTAAAATTTAAAGATGTCATGTTAAAGTAATGATAAATTAACATCTGTGAAAAATAAAATTGCGAAGAATATCACTTATTACGTTTATTAGCGTATCTGATTATATATATGCAATAGATTTTGACTTTGGAATTAATACATATTCACTTCCATTGCATATATTATCTTTCAATAATAAAATGTATTACGTTAATCGACTGTGAAACTGACCAATCACATTTGCTATTTAGTAGAACCATCTTTAAAAACCTACGTGATATTATCCTTATTTACTTAATTCTAATGAGATGATTATTTGTATAAAAGATTTGATATCAATAGTCGGCGCCAAGTTAAATTCTAATCTTTAAAAACCTACGTGGTATTATCCTTATTATTTACTTAAAT